TTTAAATCACAACTGAACACTCACCTCAGTCTATGAACACGTTTTTATGTTATTTGAATTTATTTCTAGGCTTCAAGTGTAAAAATCTTTTTATTTTGTATTTTCTTATTTGGTTTCTATCATTCTCAGATTTAGCCTTTTGCAAAAGGTTTCACTTCACATTTTTATTCTGAATCTTCTGCCGAATCTTTTGAATGAAAAAAATCAAAAATCCCTTTATAGCTACAGGAATTTAAAGTAAATCATAAAACAGTCCATGTTTTACATGTTAAAATTAAGAGAATTAAGTAAGAAGAAAATATTCATTGCATAACTTAAACCAGCGTTTCTCAATTATTTTCTGTCACGCCTCCACCTTGGGGACGGAAATGTTTTCACAGCCCCCCTGACCCACAACCCGCAAATTGAAATAGTGTAGTACTGGTACTGGTTCAAACAAAGTGATTTTAGATTTCTGTATTAAACAACGTAATACATGCAGTACACTGCACATAATTAATTATTGTGAGTATTATTAACTCATTTACTAACATGAGATGAGAGGGTATTAATTCCATATTTGCAGGTACCTCAGGTTGCAGTATTTCTCTCAGACATTACAAAGTGGTTATTAGTTGTCCCTAATTAAAATAAAATGTTTTCTTCTAATGAAATAAACCGACTACAGTCACAACCCTGCTAGTCCACCTGTATGTAAATACTGTTTTAACAGTATTTACACATGGAAGTACTACCTTAAACCAAACGTCCAAACACCCTTTGAAAATCTGACTATAAAAAAAAGTTTTTTTTGTTTTCTTGTTTGTTTGTTTACCACTCACTACACTATTAGACTCAATATCCTCTCCAAATTGCTGTTTCACTTACGACAAGCCTTTCAGTAAACAGTAAGTGTAACAACACGCCCCCCGCCCCCAGACTGCCTTCCAAAGTGGTCCACTTAATGATTTATTGCTTATGGGAAGTTTATATACTTTGCAAAACACCGTCTACACTGTTTTGTTAATTATTCATGCCTGCATGTGAATATGGCATTTACTGTAGCAGGTCTATGTCCACCGTGCAGTAAGTGGACGTCCCAGAAGTGTTTTCATGACGCGTCGTGTTCTTTACTACCTCGCTCGTAGATGCAACGCGGTGCCTGTTTGTTGCGCACAGACCCTGTGTTTTAGACTAAAATGCCAGTTAACTTAAGTGGCCCCCTGCTGGTGCTGCAGTAATCGCGCCACATGGGCCGTTACTGATTCTGCTCCAGAGCAGCAGAATAGAAAGACGTTTTCATAAACTTCTCTGAAAGGACGAACATCTGTAGGCCTTGTTAAACTACAAAAACGGAACCCAGTAGTGATGATGTTTCATCTCCTGACGAAATGATCTTTGTCTCATTACGCAAAGCTGTTTGCACAGGAGGAGCCTGAAAAATCAGACTCAGGGTTTTAGATTAGAACTCCAGTACATGATGCTGTGGGGTTTTTGTTTTTTGTATTTTGTTTTCTGTACACAGAAAAGTCACGTCATCTCTCTGAGAACTTTAATCACGCAAATGAAAAAAAAAAACCTAATTACTAGGACCATCAAGATGAATGTGTTAGCCACAATTATTCATTTGAGAAATCGTCTGATTAACATTTTAACACATTCAGAATGGCGGGCCATAGAAATCCAATTCCACCATCCATCCACTTGTATGTTGTTACATGACAGTCAAATGGATTCTAGTCTAAATCATATTTCTGACCACTAGGGGTTTCAATAAGTACAATTTTTAGTTACCGTATTTCCGGACTAGAAGTCACTTCAGAGTATAAGTTGCACCAAAAAGTGCGACTTACAAGAGTAGCAGATAATGATGCACAAGCTTAAAGTGCCCTCTAGCGGCTGTCAGTGTGAAAATAACAAACATGTAAAACTAATATTTTAATATATAAGTCACACCTGAGTATAAGTTGCAAACCCAGCGAAGTATAAGTCAAAGTGCGACTTATAGTCTGGAATATACAGTATATTTTTACACATTTTTCTTGACATTTTTCAATATTAATAATTCCAAATTATTTGTACTAGATTCATCAGGTTGAGGATTTTAATCATTTGACAGCGCTGCGTCCTGAAGTGGTCCTGTAGACTAGATTCATCAGGTTGAGGATTTTAACCATTTGACAGCGCTGCGTCCTGCGCGACATAAAATAAATGTAGTGATTTTACAACACGTCGAGCCATCAGTGGAAGATGTTAATAGCGCCATCTATTTCCTATCCCGTTCTTGGAATAGTCTGCCCTCACCTTTGTCCGATCCCATCATCGTCTAGGGAACCGAGCTCATATAGAAAGACGTTCTCCGCCTCCACATGTCGTCCGTAATGTACATACACACATGCTGAGTTGACACTCGGCTGACCAGTGGAGAGCAGAGAGCCGGACCTCCCATTACTAAACACAGAGCTTGTGGTCTCGCTTCACTGCTGCAGATGTCAGCAGCTCCCTGTCCACCCAGCCAGAAGCAGGGTAATGGATTGTGTTATTCCCTGTTGTTGACATTTCAGCAGACCTGGGGTGGAATATTGCCCCGTCCCCCCCGTCCCTCTGACACACGCACACACACACATACATTCACACTCTCTGCTGTCTTCCTGGCCTGTTCTTTCATCTTCTATTTCTGGTCTTTATGTGTGTCAGATATCTTTGGTAAAATCTTTACGGGGGCACTAAAAGCACACCTGCTGCCCCCCTTTACGTCTCACCTATGGTTTCAAGTTTGGTTGGGGAGAGAAGACTTTTTACGGTGTTTTTACTGACATACTTTGGGTTAGTTTTTGAAATGTAAAACAATTTGGAAATTGAATCTAGCCTCTAAACTTGTAAAACTCATTTGCATTAATGGCACATTTAACTGAGCCAAGGCTTCCATCTGTCCTCCATTGTTTGGAACTTGAAGGTTGTTCTAAAAAAAAAAAAGAAAGAAAGGGTAAGTCTAAAAGTTCTTACACAAAACCTCTGAATTTCAAAAGGCATCTTATTTTATCAACTAACGATGTTCTGTTATTTGGGTGAGATTTTTCAACCTGTAAAAATTAACAGTTTTTAAATCAGAGCAAATGTCAGATTTTTGACCGAACTCTAATTGAAATTTGTTAATTTTTTTGGAAAAAATGACTTCATTGCATGCATTCTTTCCATTGGGGGCAAATGAATTCTACCTAAAGTTAATAATTATAAATAATGTATTATTATTGTTATTATTAATCATAATAATAATAATATTAACTTATTTTATCTTATATTATCTTCAAACGTATATTTTTTTTTGTTTCCTCTTGGTTTAATTCATGTTCAAATGAACTGGAAAACCACAGATCTCCCTTTTATATTATTAAATTCGAACACTTCTTTGAGAAAATTATTTTTCAAAAATGTATCTCTTGTGAATTCGAACCTTTTATTAAACAAATATAATAGACAAACGTACCTTTCATTGGTGTTTTTTGTTTTTTTTTTTGTTTTTTTTGAGTAAAGCCTGGAGTCATTTAATTAGTGAGATCCAGTTGGGATTCTTGCCCTGGTCTATCATTTGCCAGGCATTAGTGTCAAGTGAAGTATGATGTTTTAACCCAGATAAATAAAGACAAATTAGCAGATGCTTGCCGTTTTTATACTGATCACTCATTTCGTTTGATAATGAAAGTATTGTAACCAGGATACTGTGGTTTCAATGGTCTTGGCAGCTCAATCAGAGCTGAGTATTCAGCCGTTAATTATCCTGTTCCCTGGACAACAACATGCAGATATGTTCAGACTCAGTCTGGTGAACAAATTGGCGTTCCACCAAATTTGTCACTCCCTAAGCTCATGAAGAGAAGACTTTTCTTAATGGATTGAATTTGTCCTGAAGTGTCTTGATTAGTGTAAAGGGATTTTAGGGGAAAAAAAGAAGAAAAACAAATACTCCCCAAAGGTTCCAAAAATACACACTCCTCTCGCCACGTTTTCTGAAAGAATACAGGGCCAAAAGAGAAAGTTCCAAAACTCCTCCAGCTGACCAGCACACTAACTTTAGTCAGTCTTGCATCACTTATAACGAATGCTATTTCCCCCTGTTTCCCACTGTCTCACTCTCCCTCTTTTGCTTTCTTTCCCTCTCTAGGCAGTAGCAACTAATCCTTTTCCAGTGAAGCTGCTCTACGATAAATCACATGATCAGGTCTGGGTCTTATCGTGGGGGGATATGGACAGAACACACCCAGTACTACAGGTAAGTTTTGGACACATCATTTCCAATGCTGAAAGTGGGCAGTGACCCAGATTCAAACCTGAGTGTTCTATACCTATACATATTCAATAATAGCAGCCCACAGACCGCATGCAAGCTTGACACAAAGCTTGCATGATGTATCGGTCCTGAACAACATGGCTTGTAGAGCCAGACATTTTTCTTTACCACACTCGCTTTTCACAATAAAAGGAAATCACAGCGGGTGAGAAATCACAGCGGGTGAGAAATCACAGCGGGTGAGAAATCACAGTGGGTAAGATGAAAACAGTGGGTTTGAGTCTGCATGGACTGATTTTTGTTTAGTTTTTTGGTGAATGTTTAATGTTTTCCGAAGCAGTCGAATATTTGTATCTACATTGTTGTAGTTTTTTGGTGTCTCATTTGCCTCCAAAAAAAAAAAATAACCCAACTAAATTACTGTGTATTTAGTAGTATTTGGCCCCATTAAATAACAGAAGCCACAAAAACATCAAGAAGATGAAGATTTTTTTTACATCTTTAAGTACATTTTTAATGAGCTGAATATGACCACAGGAAACTGTACCCTGATGCAGGGGTTGTTTTGTGTAAAACTTGACATTAACTTTTCTCTGATAAATGTGTGGCCTTTCGAATACAACTCCACTCTAGACTATTCTATATGTATATATAGGCCACACCTAGTTTTCCTTTGTAAATGCAATTCTTTGTATCAAACTCAGAGATCTTCATACGTTTTTTTTTTCCATGTGAGCCAAATAATCTTCTCCCAAATCCTGTATGGCAACAAAGACTACCTGTAAATGAGTTGTATTTTACGAAGCCAGAAAAACAGCCACTCACAGCTGCGCTGCAGTTGCCCTGTGACTGCAGTGTCCCTTTGGAATGCTGGTGTTAGAGGCTTCACGATGAGAAATGATCACAGGTGTGGTGTGTATTTAATCCACCTCGGGGGATTGGGTGAGGCAAGTGAGGAAAGAAGAGAGGATTCAGAGGAGGTCGAAGAAGGTAGAGGAGAAGGGAGAAGGAGCCGAGCTGGTGCCAGTGGGAGACGTATGATTGCTGTTTTTGTGGGAATGGCCTTAAGTGTGTGTGTGTGTGTGTGTGTACCAGTGAAACCATGTAAGGCGTAGCTGCAGGTTAAAACCAGCAGGGAACCTGAGAGGAACCTCAGCCATAGACACAAACATGTTTATTGTTCTGCTTCATCCCAGTGGAGTGAACAATCCCAGGATATTGATGTGTGGTGCTGTGCTCTTTTCTGTTTTGGAAAGGTTCTAGATGGGTCATTCATTCACAATTTGCCACTTTCAAAAATAGATAAATAAATGACCAAATGTGTATCAATCAATTCAACACTCCAATTAGTCAATGGGACTCAACGTCAGAGTGTAACGTCATTGTAGATGTAACTGGGCCACGATCAATACACTTAGTCAAACACTTAGTGTTCCTCGTTGCTTGTTTTTTTCAGATATTTTATAACAGCGTCTTAATGCTAACGGTTGATTGTTTAGGATTTAATACGAACACTCTTGGTTCTGGCAAGAAACACACACCGAGAAGTTAAAGCCACCTGTGTGTGGGTTTTAACAGATTTTTTCTCCGACTCTCCGTGCCTCAGTTTTGAACATTTTGTGCTGATTTACAGGCAGTGAATGATTTTGGCTTTAAACTTCTGACAAATCTGTGAAAATTGTTGGGTTGGTGAAAATATAATTACACCTTACGTTCAGAACGTAACAAAAAAAAAAAAACAACAATAACTGAAAAGCAGGCTTGAGGTTTAGAATTGTTTTTTATCTTTTATTTTAATTGACTGAAAAGGGAAAAATAGATTTTTGTTTGTCAGTTTTTTTCATTTATCCCATCTTCTTTCAGGGGTAATGAATAATTATGGTGCTGAGAATGAATGCCTCGAAATTCTATTGCAGAGAAGCCACCTAATGCAGTGGTTTTTATACCCTGTACCACATGAGAAACCACTGAGCTCTCTGAGTACCACCATGATGACCAACATTAGAATATAGCAGCGTAGGCCTTCACTGTTAGCTTCCACCACAGGAGAGATGTTTAAAAATGTTGATGTTTAAATGTTGTATTAATTGAGCATGGTATGTTTCAGATTTATTGAAAATGTAAATGTGAGAATAGGAATTTTCCCCACGTACCACTGGTGGTACGCGTACCACAGTTTGAGAACCGCTGTCCTAATGGATTACATGCCGCATAGATCACATGACAAATACATGTTCTGGTACTGTCATTATCACTGGGACTGAATGTACTGTGACCTGTTCAGCAGCGGACGGTCATGGACACACAGCCCAGCTACGCTTCAGCAGATCACACAAGCGTACGAGCGCGTGTTTGTGCGCATGTTGACATAAGAACACAGAGCGTCGATGGTCGGTGTTTTTTGTGAGTTTGTGCTCAGCTGAGTGTGTGCCTGGTTGTTTCAAGCTGGGAAGTTCATAATGTTTGTGCACAGTGAGGGACTCTGATTATCAATTCATTAGAGGAGGGAAATAGAGGAATCTCTGCTGAGGAGAGACAGACGTGGCCTTTTGGACCGTCAGCCTCGTCTGCTTTGTGCCGAGGAGACATTTAACTCACAGCCATATTGTCTCTCTCTCCCAACACACAAGGGCACGGTGTCTCCCATCTGTTTTCTCAACCATTTATCTCTCTCTAATTTCTGGAGCTCATCATTTGGCTTTTTCTCTATCTGAGCACAGTTAGTCATAACATGTTGGGCTGGTAAAATAAACACATTTAGATACTTAATAGTGTGTTCCTTAATTCAGTAAAACCAAAGTCCAAATACAATGAAACTCGGGTATACTCAAATGGTATTGTCTCTTGTTTGGCAACCGAGTTATGGTACGACAACCGGGACAATTTTTGGTTACAAATTTTGTTTGTGAACCATATTATTCGAAAAGGGAGGCGTGACAACCAAGATTCCACTATATATTGAAAAAAAAAACATTCTGTGCCCATCTATACTGTAGTAGTCCACGCTAGATGAGCACGGGGCTGTTGTTAAATACACTGGGGCATTTCAAAAATCCCATCTCATTTGGATCTTATAGTAGTTAGATCGCAGAGAGGAAAAAAAGGAACCCACTCAATGCTTCTCCAGACTGAATATTGTTGAAAGGGAAAAAAACCTCTGAGAGCAAAAAGCCCCCTCAGGTATTAGGGCAGCATATATGAAGGGAGCAGCGTAAAACTCAATTGCTGAAATATGTGGATATGAAATCCAAGCAAGAGCAATGACAAAGAGAAGCCAGGGGTATAATGTCAGGAGCACCTGCAGCCCTGGAGACCACTGCAGCTGCCCTAATGATACATGAGGCGTTCTACGGAGAACATCGTTAACTCATGTCATTGTGTTTTGCAACTGCTGCGATGACCCTTTTTAATGAGGACTAAAAAAAGAGAAGGAAAGAAAGAAGACAAGAAAGGGATTTGATAAAGTGTATAAAATATGCAGGGTACTTTTTATTTTCTCAAAGATAAGAACAACATTTTCTTTTTTTCTTTTTTTCTTTTTTTTAGTCTTGGGAAGCAGTTCTCAGTGAGGCCCCCTGCTGTGCATCACGTAGAGGTGTAGCTTCTCACTGGTGTGGGTTCAGACATCAAAACACATTTTTCTCCTTGGTTCTTTTTCTTTGAAAAACAGCTCTTCGTACTTTACAGCAACATGTGCTCGGTTGTTTTAGTCTGAGAATCACTTCAGTAAGCTATTTTTTAAAAATATGACTTGTTTTTAAAAAGTGAGCGAAAATATGCGACTCGCACTGAAATGTAACGCTGCAGAGAAGAAGTTGAGTGGCTGACAGCGGTGATAATTTCATACAGTCTTACACACACATGTTGTTCTTAGAGTTGACTTCGGTGAGCTGATAACATTCACATGCATGAAGGATCATTCCCGGCGGGTGGGTCCAAACTCATGTGATTTTCTATGCTGACTTTGCCAGGTGTCAGACATGAGAGATGGTGTGTTCTGAAGACAACCAGTACTAAAGACAGGGTCACATTCATCAAGAATTGACATACTGTAAAGGATATTGACGTTTTTATTGACTGTTCTAAATATCTGTAACCTGTTAAGATTCAAGATGCTCTATAACAGAGGTGTCAAACTCAAGGCCCACGGGCGAACCTAAGAAATTTTTATATTCAATCAAATAATAATCAATTGCAGAAACATGTATTAGTCTGTTATGGAGTAGTTACATCTTGGGGTAATAGGGATAAGACTGGATTTTCTTTGAATCAAGTAAATCAGTAAAAAATTTAGTAAATCTTTTCACTGCGGCCCGGTACCAAATGACCTATGGACTGGTACTGGTCTGCGGACCAGGGGTTGGGGACCCCTGATCTATACAGTCTTCCATTTCCAACCGGCCCTTCAAGGTGAACTGTACTGCTAATGTGGCCCCCAGTGAAAATGAGTTTGACACCCCTGGTCTATACCGCAACGACCATCAGGATGCAAATGTCTCTTTAATTTTTCAATTTCTATTAAAAAGAGTTCTTGGAGTAAACATAGGATTTTTATCTTTAAAAAATACATAACATTGTTATAATCAGAAAGTGTCCTTCAATCTCAAATGCAAAGCTAGGGTTAAAAACTATTTTAAGTTGAATGCATTTTATTTGTACAGTTTCAATTGACAAAACTCGTAGGGGTTACTGGACTGAACAGCTTTTAAATTAGAATAAAAAATAAATTCAAACTCTTAATAAACCTTCATTTTATTTTGTGTACAAAACCATAACAACTTAGCTACTTTAATTTGTTTTTAGCAATTAAAATATATATATATTTTTTTTTTTAGACCGTTTTGTTACCTAGAGTTTTTGGTTTAACAATAAAACATTGTTGATAATACTGATGATGCTCTCTTTAAAAATACTTTCTCTCTGTGAAAGCACTCCAGAACTATGTTTACAAGAAAATATTTAGAGGTTCATGTTTTTTTTGTGTGTGTTTTCATAACCTTGGCAATATTTTATCCAGGTTATTCCTCAAGCCAGTGTGGGCGAAGTACATCGTGCGGTACGCACAACTTTCCAGAGAGTCAGTGACTTCTTCATTCCTCCCACCAACCTGATCATCACTCACGTGAGGTAAAGTAGCTGGCGCACACAAACACACACACACACACACACACATGTTTGACACCTTTGACCTTAAAACAGATGGGACCCTAATGACAGTTGTCCTTCTCAAATAAAGGAGAAAAGACTAAATGAGAATTCTAATGAGAATTTGAACGGGTATTAATCACTGTCCAGATAAATCACCAAAAGGCTATTAACCTTTCCTCTGAACTTTGTCGATCCAGGTTTGCGTTTGTCTTCCTCAAAAATGAACCGGCGGTGCACAAGATTGACCTGGAGACTCTCCACCGCGTAAAGACCATCAGCCTGAAGAACCACAGCTGCGTACCAGTCAACATGGCCTACACGCATCTCAGCGGCTTCTACTTTATCCAGTGCCAGAGCAAGAGCCGCCTACACGCCCCGCCGCAGCTTCTCATAGACAGCGTAACAGACGTCGTGATTGGCCCCAACCTGAACATCACAGGGCAGTCTTTTGTGTCACCGGACGGCCGTTACATCGTCACGTCTGACCCGCTGAGCTCCAGGCTGATCGTTCAGACTGTGTCGTTTCAGGGCGAACTGGGTTTAGACCAGATGATGGACCAGCCTGTGGATGTCTCCGACCTGGTTTTCCAGCCTTCCTTCACAGAGTCTTACCAGCACTTGGTGGTGGCCACTTCTTCTTCAGGCACGGACCTGTTATTTGCCGACCTGTCCTCGGGCCAAACTGAGGTTCTCCAGAGCCTGAAGGAGCCCCTGTCCACCCAAGCCTGGCCCTGGGGTGGCCCCAAGAGAGTGGTGGTTACCAGTGGGTTGTTCGGACAGTATCTGGTGACGCCATCAGCCGAGTCGCTTTTCGTCCTGAACGGCAAACAGAGAATGCCACACTGCGAGCTGTCAGATATCAAAAGAGGGAACACAGTAGTCTGGGTTGGTGAGGTATGAGTCGGGAGAAAAGCGGTTGACATGGGATGAGGAAAAGGTAACAAAGAAGGAGAGATCGGGCCCATAATTTATCGTAAAGATTTATATGAAAAAGAAGTTGCGGACTCCACCCTGGGACTGAGCAGGAGACGAGGAAAAAACCTGGGTTATTGTAACAAAAGTACACCTAAAATTAGAGTAACTGAGAAAATGTAAGAAACTCTGTTGTGATATCGCTATTGGGAGAAAGTGTCAATGCCGTCCAGTGCAACAGTGATCTACGTGCACTTAACTATGAAGAATTGTACATTATTGCACTTCCTTCCGTTATCACAGCAAGTAGGTACCTGACGAGGGGGTTATTATGAACTATGCACAATGCTCACTTTTTTAGAGTAAAAGCTTTCCAGTTTCTTTTTTTTTTTTTTGTTCATTTCAAAAATGTTCGTCGTTTTCACCAGTGCTGCATATAATCACCACAAACTGTCCTGTCCCGTCTGCCTTTAGTGTATGTGTGTGTTGAGTCTTTATGAGAAGCTACCGAACCATCTGTTTGTCACGGTGTGTGTTGTACCTGGATGTCCCGCTGAAAGATTCCCTCCTCTTTCTTCTCCTCCTCCTCCTTCACCAGCAGGGGCTGGCTTTATGCACATGTGTAGTACTCTCTGTTTACAGTGTCTTTCCAAAGAGCCCAATTGGTCCATTAGCCGTCAACTGCGGTTGTTTCGCCAGCAGTGGTGGTCTACCTAGAAATGAGCTCTATACATCTTGCAGTTTCGTCGCAATGGTATAATCTGTCCCACGCTGTCTCTCGCAGTTATTCTGTGCCTGCAGCACAACTCTGTGCTGTGAAGCCTGAAAATGCCACTTAGCAGATTCCCTCAGGGTAATGACTTTGGTTTATGCTGACCCACATTCTTTGGCCGTGCCAATGTGGTGCAACGCCGCTATCTGACTGGCTGTGAGCATTCATGTGTCTGCAGTAAAAGATGAATATCAGGATAAAATCCGAAGGTACGTACACTATGTTTAAACCATTCACTTGACCGCAACTCTCTAACATCTAGTGTTCAGAACAAAATTATATTTAAAAAAAATCTGCAGGTTACACCATCTAGTGTTCAGAACAAAATTATATTAAAAAAAAATCTGCAGGTTACACCAAGTTTTAAAATGACCTTTTTTGCAGACATTATCATCATAGCAGTTCATTAAAATATGGAAACACCTCAGTGTAGTCGACTAAAACTCTGTTGGGATTACAGTTACTTGTTATGCATTTCGCCTGCTGACATTTGTAAGATCCTTCTACTAACATTTCTGTTGGCTGGAATAATATCTGCAAATCAGAGCCAATGTTTGGATTAAGGTTTTTGTCCTCCTCATGTTGCTTTGCTTTTTTTTTTAATATCCTGGATACAGATTTCATAAGTCATTTCCCATTTTCTCATAAAACGCATCCTCCCCATTTAGATGAATATTTTTGCTTCAAAATCAGAGTTTCCTTAACGTTTTAATAATGTCCTCACAACTACAAACAAAGAAGCCAAAGGCTTAGTAATTAGACAACATCAAGTGTCTATACAAAATGCTAATTAAAAACAAACCAGGTTTTACCTTAGCCTGCTCAAGATATCATTTCTAGTGCTCTGCCACATGAATGAACACCATAAGAAGATATACAACAAACATTTGTATTTAAGCAACAAGACGTTCCATTTTCTCTTCACTTCTTCAATTTTACTTTTTTATTTCAAACATTTTGTGTTTTGTTAATGAACCATATTTTCATCATGTTCTAGGTCAGACCTGGGGGCCAAAAACGGCCCGTTCAGCTTTCTAATCTGGCGCACCAAACACTGGTACAAGGTATGGTAAAGACTGATGTCAATTCTCATTCGTTTCAATGAATCAACTATCATTTCTGTTGTTGCCGCTAAATGGCGGCAGACGTTAAACATGTCACATTATTTTTAAATGTTTTACGTTTATTCTTGTACATTTTACAAACCAATACTAAACGGGCCTACCAGTCAAATTTTAAACCTCAATTTGGCCCCTGAGCCAAAAGGTTTGCTGACCGCTGATCGAGACGATGGTGTGTATCATCTTGACCTGAAATGCCCTCATACTTTACGGTATATATATCAACTCCATTAATGCTCACAGCCTGGTAGATTCCGACGTTGTTGTTTTTTTTTTTTATTGGCAGGTCAATATCTGACGATATTAAACTTTTTTTCTGACATTCTAGTCCACCCACAGACCACAGAGGCCAAAGTCCAACCGAGTAATGTGTACGAAAGTGTGTTTGGTTTTGGGGAAAAAAAGTTTCTTGTGAAAACAACTGGGATCTTGTGAATGGAGAATATTTGCCCACATCCCCGCCCCCTAGAAACAAACAGCCGTCCAAATCAAATATTAATCAATTTCTCCTGATAGGTAGCTATGCCTGTAACTCCCTGATGCAATGTGTAGTGTAGAAACACAAGCTTTGTAGGAAAAAGACAAAAGAAAACACAGAAGTGGCGTCAACATGTTATACTAGTGTGTGATTTAGGTATTTGCTGCTAATCTGCCATGAACCTCATTCTGACATGAAATTCTGTTTGATTGGTTTTGTGAAGGCAATGATTTTGTGATGTTGACCATCTTTCTTAGACCACTGTTGCACTGACGAGAGAAGTATAATTTTCGACATTTATTTATTTTACACATTTTTTTGTGGTGGAAAAATGTGTCTAGATATTCAGGTTTCGATGCTACCAGTTACTACCGGTCCTATCAAATTGACTTCTTGACAAGTAATTTACAGTATTCAAAGAAATGCATGTAGCGAGCAGACCTCCACCACCTTCACCACCACCAAACTTACTGTTGACCTGATCTGTCTGCCGGACCCCACAGTTACAGATTGCAGTTGGTTGTGAATTATTTTTTTCTTATTTTTGCCCCGTTCATCATCAGTGTCTGTTAGCTTATCTCCTAAGGCCAATTCACTGATGCCGCGTTGCAACACGAAACAAAGAAACTGCACCTGTGTTTGCTGGTAGAACTTCATGCTATGGCTAGCTCACGTTGTTTGTTTGGATCTGCCTTCCTCGTTTCACGACTCTTTCAGTACCTCTCCTCAACCCTCCCAGTAAGGGGCTGCAGAGCTGAACAGCTTGGTGTGATAGACATTCATTGGAACCACTGTTGTAGATAACATTGTTCATTGTATAAAAACCGGTTCCTACATGACAAAACTGACTGTACAGTTTTCTTTATGCATTTTGTGTGTTCTGGTTTAATGAGGGAATTGTTTTGTAATAAAAACAAATATATAATTAAATATATTGTAAAAACCTTACATTTTTTTTCTGCAGTCTTGAAGTGAACCGAATTGAATTAGAAACTTTGATAATAATTTGTTGAGTTATTATCAAACTTAGAAGAGGCCTGATAAATGCTAGCTAAAAGAGCTAGCTGTGACTGCGTAAAGTAAAGACGGCTCTCATTTGACCAGAAGGTTGTGGGTCTGAATAAATAGGCTTGACCAGGACAATGTCACTTCCCAGTTTTAGCCAATGCTGAGTTGACCCTCACTACACTGATGGTTGATGTTCAACATGCTTTAACGATCCATGACCATTACACCGCACCACAAAGAGACACTGTCAATAACCTTCCAGTGCTTGTCAGGCTTAAGGAACAGGGTGAATGAGTAAATATTGATATTTACTCATTCACCCTTTTCCTTAAACACTAACACCAACAGAGCCGAAAAAACATGACTGAACACAGACGATTCAAGGGATCAACCAATCACAGTCTCGATTCAGGTTTGATTTAGTGTACCTTAGCCAGCTTTAGCTTTCGATGCACTGTCTTAGCACCATTCTCCAATATTGACAAATCATATTACAGCCTCCAAAAATGTATATTTTTGCCAGATACCTTAACATAACAACAAGAACACAAAGTAAAGGAAAATCTGTATTTTGTTTTGACAAATGTTTGGGGGTCAGTAGACTTTTAAAGTACAGCGCTGTACCTGCATTATCTGTGTCTCTGACAGGACAGCAGGACTGGAGTAAAATAAGCCTTGTTATAAAGCGGAGACACGCCTATTATGTTTTCATCATGGAAGCTGCTCTGACCTCACAGAGGCAGAATGAAATACGAGGACGCTCATAAACAGCTGTGCTAACACTCCATAATACAGCCCATGATTTACAGTGGGATACGGAGAGTAACACGACAGCTCCTGCTCGGAGAAAACTCCTGGGACAATGCGCAGGAAAAAGAAGAAAAACCTTTAGCTGAAATAGATTCAGGGTGGGTGGCCATCTGCCTGATCCGAAAGTGGAGGTGTTTAAAGGGGGCACAGGAGTGGGTGAGGAGAGAAAAACGGTAAAGAAGGTAGAATAATATTTCTCTCAGATAAAGATATGTTTGAATGATTGTTTGTTCTCGTTTTAAAATCATTATTTGAGAGATATTACATTAGGGCAGAATGTAATTTTTCAAAATAAATTATAATAAATACATGCTACCAGGTAGTTTTGAGAGCTGACCTGATGCAGACAGAAAAACATTTTAAAGTTCAAAGAACAGAGAGTTCAGAATCGTCTCTGAGTCAAAACAATACGACGACTGCAACCTTTTCAAAGCCGAGGCAACATTTGTCTCCTTCACAAAACAACAAGATAAAGAGGCCTTCATCACCTGTGCGATCGCTGAACCAACACACGGCCACAACTCATCCTTGGGGTCGTATTTCAGAAGGATGACACTGCATGACAATGCAGGAAGCCACATTCATGACATTTTGCTGTGACAAAGTTGCACGGCCGAACAATGCAATTGAATGCTGTTTGCTGCGCGTTGTATTTAGTTTTATATTTTATATTGTTTTATTGATTGTTAGCAATTATTTTCTTAGTTTATTTTAGATAAACTTTCAGCTTTCAGGCTTTTTCTTCTGTAGTCACAGTGCTGTTGCAGTGAGCAAAACAAAAGCTCTGCTCACAGAAGCGACACAAGCGCTTGAGGTTTTGGCTTGAAGTTCTTTATTTAGTATATTATTTCATTAGAGTGTGCTTATATTTATATATAACTAAATCCATCCATCATCGTCAGCTTATCCAGGGCCGGGAGGCGGGGGCAACAGTCTGAGCAGGGATTTCCCTCTCCCCAGACCCTTCCTCCAGCTTTTCTGGGGGGATTCCGTGTCATTCCCAGGCCAGGCGAGCAAAATTGTCGACATATACAACTCCAATATGCCTATAATACAAGATTATCTGGCATTAGTAAAGAACAGAACATTGGTGTTTGCTTACCGGAAAACATAGGCCTCGATATCTTGTCAGTTTTCTTCCTGTCAGGTGCACTTGACCCAGATGTCATTTTTAAAATGGTCCTGTAAAGTACCTTCCTCTGTTGTTACTTCATGTAGCATTCCTTAGTGTGTGTATCAAAACATAATTGATGGGGATATGATTTATTTTAAAATAATTATTCAAGCCATAATCTGATTGACATGAGAGTGAGTCAGAGCTAATTTTTTGCCAGTAAATCCTCCACATTGAAGGGATTACGTGACAACAAAAGCTGGACACGCTGTGTTGACGTTCCACAAATGCCGCAAATTACTTTAATTTGGTGGAAGCACATGTTTGTGGTTGGAATCAGATTATTAATAATAGGATTATCTCTGACTCACTCATGTGGATAGGCTCTCTCTCTCTCTCTAACATGTGTATTTGTGTGGAAGCAGAAACACAGCCAGACACTAGAGGAACAACAGTTCAGATGGATCTAATGTTTCTGAAGAACCGACAGAAACAGAGATCCATTGTTTAATGTTGTCGTGCTGTGAATAGTTACAATTACGTTGATTTGGTGCACGTTGATGTATTCTACACAATGAGGAATCTGACTGTTTAAAAGTGTAAGACCCAGCTTGATGTGCCTGTAGAAAAATAACCTGGTCTGAAAAAAGTGCAGTGCGACAATGACATTGTCAGTCATATCCAGAAATTGGCACACTGGTAAAAAAAAAAACACTTGAAAAGAACCACATCATTATTGTTTTAAACCATTGTTGGCAAAACTTCTCTTAAACCTTACGAGTGAGATAAGAGTGAATTTGAAGTTGTTTCCAACTTTCATACTTGTTTAAAAAAAGCTGTTGCTTTCAATTTCTCCCCTCAGTTGGAATCCCAGCATCATTCTTTTCTCTATTTTGGCCGATCTCCTGTGTCTAACACTCTTCAGCTGCAAAGGCATAATTGATGTGTTGTGTCGGGGCCCTGTGCGTGTCTCTGTGTGAAAACATGCAACACTTCAGCTCAGTTCAAAATCAGTCAGCGGGTGCAGGCAGGCGTTGACCTCCTCACGCTGAGTCCTGGAGTCAACTGGGGGGGAATATGGATGGAATGGGTTCCAATCAACCTGCACGACCACTGCGATTGCAATCTCCCCTCTCTACATGACAACAAAAGGTTTTTCAGAGCAGCAGAATATGGGGTTATGTTTATCTTGTCTGACTTCAGAGGCAGGGATCCGTCTAGTCTGGTTAAATCCCTACAACACTCCTAGTAGTCTGTATTTTTTTCAGCAGATGAGGCAAAAGGTGGATTCATGAAGTGAATAAACTTAACTCATATTCCAGAGGTAGAAATTAACAAATTACATTTATTCATTACTGTAATTGAGTCGTTTTTGTTGGTAATTTGTCATTTTTAAATAGTTTTGGAGATAGGTAATTTTACTATTTACTATTTTTACCTAAGTATTTTACTTTGCTACATTTAAAGAACCCAATACTGAATAAAAATGTAAATGCGGGGGGAAAAAACAATCTGCGTTAATCAAAAGAAAATTGTGCGTCTATCACTCAGCGTTCTCGCGCACGTGCGCGTGAACGCTGAGTGATAGACTCAATCCTGTTGTTGGATCATGGCTGATGCCGAACAAGAAAAGGATATTGAGGATTGCCAAGCTGAGAGCCCCGTTTGAGCAGAGCACCCAGAAAGAGAAGGAAATCCTTGGCCATATTTTAGCGAGCTTTTATCATTTTTCAATTGCAAACGAGTCGATAACTTCATCAAGCGACGCAACACGTGCATGCCCCGGCGAAGAGAGCTGTCGCTGTGCAAACTTGGACTTCAAACTCAAGCATGGATCGGTGAGTACAGTATCTGTGTCTTTGTCTGTGTATCCCAAACGTTATGTTTACTGTTTGGTTAAAAATCTTCCTCCGTTAATCAAAACGTGACTTCACAATATCGAATATTGTCGCTTAGCTTAGCATCAATCTCGGTAGCTGACGTTTCAGTGACGTAGAGCAGTACCAGACCACTGTCAGAAATATGTACCTGATTTTAATTGCGGTTAGTCTCTAATGGATTTTAAGGCACTTCTGGGACTTTTTA